TAAAATTACTGCTTCTGGCCTCTGTCTTTTAGAGGAAAAATTCATAATTCAGACTACACTGGAAGGAGAAGAGTCCTGTGATATACATGGACCCTCTAACACACTCCTGGGGTGAGGACCAGCAGCTTCCTTTGGCTGCTGCCCGTGGGCAGCAGGACCGGCAGCAGCAGCCCCAGGGAAGGTGTTGCAGATGCCCTGGGTGAGCAGCGTTGCAGATGCCCAGGTTTCCCACCCCAGAGGTCCTGCCAGCCTTGCCTGTGCCTGATGTGACTGCAGGGCTACAGGATGGCCCAAAGGAGCTGCCTGTGTGTCTATGGCCAAACCGCCTTCCCGCTGGCTGCAGCAGCCTGCTAGTGCCGTGTGCTTATCAATCCAAAGTACAAATAAGTGGTCGCTTTTAAACTCTATAAATTCACTCTTTTTTTTCAGTGTTGATTGCTGCTGGATTTCTTCTATTTTTGTCCCATCTGGCAAGCACGGCCCATTGTTACTCCAGTATCTGATACCGTGTCCCCTGGAGCATTCCAATGGCTTGGATCAGGACCCAGCCAGCTGCTTAATACTGATGTTACAATCCTGTTGAATAGCATCCTCCTCTGTTTTGCACATACTTTTATAATTTTGAATGCATTTAAGTAAAAAAAATAAAAAAATTTAACAAAGTGCTTAAATAGTGGAAACTGAAGCTGCACAGAAGGAACAAAATTCTGACTTCAGAAGACCAATAAAAATAATTGGACTCACAATCCAGGCCAATAATTTATGGGTTATAAGTATTTTTGAGATTCCAGCTTAAACTGATTTTTCTTCCCCAAAATCATATCCAGAAGGAAGCGTCCTGGTGGTAGAAACTTCTGATTATGCTTGGTAATAGCACTCTCTCACGTTCTCCTACCAGGTACTCCTTCTTTGTCTCAGTGGAAATTGAAAACTAACGCAAAGTTTATTCAAGAGTCTAATCCTGATACCCAGTAGGAAATATATACGTAGGCTTTCAGTCCTTTCCAAGATGCAGATTTTAAAAAGCTCTTGCTGGAAAGCTATCACAAAGCTCCAGATCTCAGCTTTAGATTGAGATCATCTGCAGCAAGCCAAGACACTTCCCCATTAGCTACTATTATGATAACCTATTAATAATTATTTTCATCTGGAAAACATGTTTACTTGTTGGGTTTTTTTTTTTAATGTTACATTCTACAAAGAAGATAGTTACTGGTATTAATGATTCCATGAGGAAAATATGTAATGCTTACCGAGCCACGAAGCTTTCCCTCTCCAAAATAACTATTTATTTTTAATTTTATCCAATGAACTTCTATGGTGTAAGGCTTTTTGCATCAGATTTATTTCATCATAGTAACCTAAACTGGTTCATTATACATTAAGAAAACAGGGTACTTTGCAGTAGTAGCATTTTGAAGTGTTTATGAACGGAGGGAGAAAAATAAAGATTAATTTTTTTTTAACCAGGTAATCAGGCAAGAGGGGCTGAGATTGGCTGAAGTTTTAAACTACATTTTTCTTTCATAAATTACTTACTCAGGCTTACAAGCCAGACGGGCAGGTTTTCCCAGTAGCATTCTCAAACTAGGGTGAGGAATAGTAACTCTGGAGTCCAGCCAATTCCAATGTAAATCTGTTTTGTTCGGGAAAGTGAGCCAGGTTGCTTCTATACAACATCTCAATGTTTCAGGCGACCTGCAATATTCTCAGCTCCCATTCTAAGTGTCAAGAAAATCAAGTGGGTGGGTTTTTTAAATTCTGAACAACAGGCACAGGCAGAGCAAAAGGGGGAAGCGCTTGCTGCTAGATATGAAATGAACGCTGAAACGCAGTTCAGTTCTTTAAGCTCTGGTCAATATTTGGTTGGTGCATCTGCTCTGACAGACAGGCAGGATTAGACCCCTGAGCAGGTGAAATCACTGTAACTCGCTCGAGATCAGCACAGAGCTGCTCATTCACCGAGATGAAAATGCAGAGAATAGTCTCAGGTGCGAAACAGCCACCAGACTGTTTTGCTAGATTTCATTTAAAGCTCACGGAAGAAAATTTAAACTATTTATTAAGAATGTCAAGAATGACAACTTCCTACTCTCTTAGAAGGGAGAGAGCAGTGGGTTGGCATTGGTTTGGCAAGGCTTTTAATGGGGATGGTTACAGCTGGGTGATAACCGACGCACAGGGAACTGTCACCGCTTGAAGCCGTTCCTTATTCTCCAGAAGGGATTTTAAATCCCCCAAGGTACACAAAGAGCGTCCACTCTGACCGTAACCGACGTGAACTTTCAGTCACTGTTCACATAATACTCCTGGCATCACATTATCACTGGTGGCAACCGAACTTACTCAAACTCAAATATTACACAGCAAACAAAGTTTCGGTTAATTTTCCTCTAGCGAAGTATCAAAGGAAGCAATGCCCTTTGAAGCAGCTACCTTATGCTTTAGGCTTTATACAAATTCAACAGAACAGCACCTCAGAAATCCCGTAACAAATGCAAACAATCCCCACCTTTGGAAAACAATCCCCTGTTCGAGGAGTAAACAAAAGCATTCATTAGTCACTCGCTCCAAAGATGGGCAGCCAACAAAGGTGATGAGATTTAACCTCGAAGACTGACTAATAGCACACAGCGTTCCCAAATCACTCCATCACTTAAAGGATCCCGAGCACCTGAATGTCCTACAACATATGAGATTCGTGTCCGTACACGAATGACCGGCTACTAGCAACTGCTGATGGTAAGGGGCTCAGTGACGCTCTCCGCCAAGCTTTTCTGTATGAATAGGGACTGTTCTCCCTCAGCGGCTGGATTTTGACCTTGAAACTCACCCAGTTCACTGTTATGATTTCTAGCTTCATTACCACGGCCAGGAACTGAACTACAGGTTTGTTTTTATTAGCTTCTCCACCAGTTTGCCAGCTATTCATTTGAATCTTCTAAACAGTCATCTCTGAATCATAATGCAAATTCCATTTACTGAAAAGGTGGTACCTTTAATATAACAAATGAACACGTTTAATGACTGATACTTTTAGACATTACAGCATCTCTCATGTTTTCAGTAAATGGATATAATTTTCTCTGCATTACCCTATTATTATTCTTTCCTAGCATTACGAAGCTACGTTCTCAGCTGCGGGTGTTTTCCACCGAGTGCATTTTGAAGACAGCCCAAACAACACGATTTAAAAGACATCTCCCTCTGTATCCTCAGCTAAAAATGCTGCAGGATACAGAGGGATAGGGTTGGTATTTTATTCTTCAAATGTACTTACTGCTTGCATCTGTTTCAACAGGGTTATGCTTCTCCACAATTGCTGACTGTATTTATATTGGAAGAATATCTACAGATGCATTTCACTTCAAAGGCAAATAAGGGCTGTGGTGTATAATCAGGATAACTTCCTCGGTCTGAAGCCTAACCCATCTCCCATTTGCAATAAGACATTTTGAGAGTGAATGAGCAGAAGTGGGTCACCTTTGTAACTCTCCTGAAGCATGCCCATAACTCCATTCGTGTTTATAAGAGCTACAGATGCAACCACGCATCAGGAGATGGTTCGGGTGCTCAAACAGGGAGAGAGGGAGAGGATAATGTTGAGGAGGGGTCAGCGAGCCCCGAATATGTAATTTGGTTCAGAGAGACACCAGCACACTAATTGCTCAAAAAGGTAGCATACAGAAACTTAATGAAGCACAGTAGACACCATAGCATTTTGATGTGTGAGCGTTACAGCACTGAATTGTCCCTAAATAATACTGCTGTGTTTGCAACACATAATGTTACATTCTAGTTTTACTTAAAGATACAAATGAAACAAAAGTAAAATACATAAGTAAATATCATATGAAGTCACATGGAAGATGTGACAGTTTTTCATTCTTGACCTTAAAAGAGAGAGGCTGATCTTTTTTCGGAGGTTTTTCTGAGCAACAGCTCACCAGCTTCTCTTCTGCGGGTTTGACTGAACCCTCCTGACCCATGCAAAGGGACTCCACTTACAGCAGTAAGGGCAGTAATGCAAGAGTAGCACTTAAAATAATCTGGTAATAGAAAGGTAAATGAGATCGCTTGAAATTTATAGGATTTAAGATTATGGACCAGAGCCAAAGAGTGAGGTTGTGAAGGGTCCTTCTGTTGATTTTATGAGCTTTTGGATGAAGACTTGTACACCTGCCCACTCACATACAATGTGAGCCATGTGTGTCAGATACGGTTTGCGGTTTCCTAACAACATTTTAATATAGTTATAGTCTAAATCAGCTTTTGACTCTTATTTGTTATTTATGGTCATAAGGCCTTTTTATTTACATACTAATAATTACTGGTTATCACAGAGATACAGCATGTCAGACACTAAGCTCATCTGTACCATTCTATCCTACGCACCTTGCAGGAGTACATTAAATAACAGGACTACTGCATATTGTTCTATATCTATTTCAGAGAAAGAACAGTCAGTAAAAGTGCTTTGTGCCTCCATCAGGTCATGATGAAGGCAGCAAAAGTTTAGATCTATGTGGGAATTACTTGTAATTTTAGGCTGACTCGCTCTGTTAAAGAGATCAGCTTTCGCAGTGAGTGCCTTGGACCCCTGAGATGGTAATGAGTCTTTACACAACTTGAAAATTCTCATTTTAAATTGAAAATACATTATTTAAACTTAAACATGGGTAATATTGTGCTAAATACTGTTCTAAATTTGTTGGGATGGCTTCTGGAGTAAAAATGTGACTTGCTGTCTCTGTGATCTTTTTTTTTTTTTTAATGAGATGTCACTGTTTAAAAATTGAAGTGACACAGAGAATGGGCTAGGATAAAGCAGGAAAATAATAGAGTAAATTCTGTGCCTTTGGAATTGGCCTATGCCAGACCTTGCAGCATGTCCTGCCACAGAAAACTCGATAGACGCCGTCTTCAAATTCCCTCCGCATAACCAGAACTTGACATAACTGGTGAACATGACCGAAGCGTAGCTGAGAACAAACACATACCTCTTCCACTTCTGCCCACGAATCGGAGGTCATTGAACCGTGCTACTTGGTTTTTCATGGCGGCTGTGGCGTTTCGGAGTTCTGCAGAGTAGTTTTCATCGTTTCCAGCCATCACTGTTACCAGCGTCCCATCGGGCACATCTCCCAAGGCCACCACCTATGAAATCAAGGAGCAGAAGCCTCAGTTTCCTTATGCGACATTTAATTTGGGGTGCAGAAGATCAACAAGTAACATGATAAAATAGGAAAAAGCAGCAACAGCAAAAAACTATGTAGACTAAGAAGCTGTTTGGGGAAAATTGGAATTGCTTCCGTTCCTAGTTTTCAGATCTACAGAGAAGTTTTTACATTGATGCACATCTGAAATATGCAAGCATAATGTGTACTCCGACATGAAAAATACAAGAAATAAGCTTTAGAAAATATACTTCTGTAATTGTCAATAAATAAATTCAAGTAACAGGAATTAATTCTGGTCCGATTCACATCAACAGCATTAATTTTAAGCTACGGCAAAGTCAGCACAATGATGGAAATGTAAAATTCAAGAGAAAACAAAACCAAACAAATCATCTCATGGATGCAGAGGGTCAGAGTCCCTACAGCTGCACCAATTCCCTGTCTTTTCCTCCCACCGCTCTGAAAAGAGCTGCCTGAGCATAAATCCAGAATAAGCCCATGGAAAAGCGGGCCTCAGTCAAATGTTTAATCACAACTTACTGAACAATTTCTTTTTTTCCTTTAGAAGCATGAGAGCAAATCATTGACTTCAGACCTCACCCGCAACCTGATGGATGGAAATCATGATCTGAACTAATGAAATCTGCAGTCGCTCAGACAAAGGCTTTCACCTCGTCCGAAATGTTTGTGCTGTAGCTCTTTGGTGCCAGCATCTATGAAACAAATATTTAGGGACACAGGATTCACTGCACCCCTGATACAGTGCACTGAGAGAAATATAGATTTCTAACCTTACATTTTCTAACTTGTATCTACAACATTCACATTGGTTAAGCTATGAAAAAATTAATTTTATCTTCTTGAGCAGGACTGAATCTCAAAACAATTTTACCCTGCTGTAATCAGCTGGATGTCTAGTGTGTCTCTAGATTTACTCCGGCAAAAGTAGGAGCTTGAACTAGGTCCTATATCATACTTTTTTTAGAGCCCATTGCTGTTCCCCCAATTAAGTCTACAGTAGCAACCTCAGGACTACTATAAAAAAAATGAAAAGAAAAGAAAAAAAAGAAACTAGCTAGTTTTTATTTCCTCTTTTACACATTCTAAGAGGAAGCAGTCCTGCATCATGTACTCTGAGTTGCAGCTTGATATTTTTCCTTCCTCTTAGCATTTTCTAGCTTATATCCATGCAGTTATAATTGGTTTAAACTTGTCACAGCCCAGTTTTATTTCTATTAGTTTCTAATCACGCTGATCTTTCCAAACAAGATCAGCGGCTCCTTTACTTGATCCGTCTCTGATGCTTATTTCCCAGCTGTAACTACCTCACCTAATATGAGAGGTGTCCAGTCTCAGGTGTTTCCCAGGCTTTCCTTCTACAGCAGGCTGCCTTTCTCACTTCAGTCCTCTTCCATTTGTCACCAATAACCCTTATTTTCACTTCCACATGCAAAATTAAAATCACCCTGTCAAAATTCCCTCTTTACGCATCTATTTGAACTTCCTCTTTCCCATTCCTCTGTGGCCCAGGCTTTTGGTTTTTTGTTCTCCTCTGTGTAGCTGTTCCTCCACAATGCATTTCTGCGGCCTGAGCTATGCTCAGCATTGTGCTTTTCACCTTTCCCCGATCCTGGTGTAAAAGAGACCTGCTCAAAATGTTGAAGCTAGTGATTTTTCTCATTGCACAGCGTTGTGTCATGAGGCATGCTGGCTCATGAGATCAGCAATTGCGAACCCAATGCCCTCACGCAGTTCTTAAAAAGTTGCTGAGAAACCTTAATGCATGCACATATATTAAAGGCACAAGAAAGGGAAAGGGGAAAATCAGGGCATTACCCTCACCTCCCTGTGATGCAAATGTTTGCCTGCTTGTTTAAGGAAATACATGCTCACATTTGGAGGGATGAAAAAGCTTTGTGAATCCAGGGTCAGTTGTCTCTTACAGAACAAATATTTTAAATCACCGTTTTTCAAGTTACACTGAAGGCAACCTCAGCGATAAAGACACATGAAGAAAATATTAGAGACAAGTATAAAAATGACACAGCCCAGAAAAGAAACTAGAGTTAAAAGTCGCAGACAATAGAAACAGAAATACAAACATTTACATTAGAAAAAAGACTAAACAGATAAGTTGGGACTTGCTGACTGGAGTTATCTTGTACTTTGTTGTACTCTTTAGCTCTTAAAAATATGTATTACCAGAGGAATGAGAAGCATATCAGCGTTGTAGCGCTGCCAGGTATCTAAATTATCTACTTCTACCGCATCAATCAAAGAGAATTGGCCTTTTAAATGAAGATTTGGATGCTTTCTTAACAGCGTTTGGACAATGAATCTATATAACACCTTCTTAGAGTTATTATGTACTATTTTCTAAGTTTCTCAGAATCATTCTTTATTTTAGAAAAAAAAATGTATGGAAATGATCCTTTTGGTTTGAAATAATATCCTGATCCTAAAGATCAAACATCATGAGTAAATTTTTCTAAGGAAACATGAAAATTCCCTGTCTCTCTCTTTTTATTGATGCAATTGTTGTTAGCAAACACTTGGTAAAACTCAGCGGATTTTTGTCCTTTGCAAATAAGATGTTGGCAGCAGCGGAATGATCTGAACTGAATTTTCTAGTTTCTGTTCCAAACGGTCTTAAATTGTATGGCTTTTAAAAATGCCTCTTGCGAATATTCAATATGCGGTATAAAACCAATGAGAATGTTTTATACGGGGCAAACCGGTTCAGGACTCATTTCTCAGCGGTCCACAACGGGAGCGATTCGGGGGAGGAGGGGGACGATTTGCAGCGAGGGCACCACGGCAAGCAGGTGCCTCCCCGCACCCCATTTCAGGAGCTCGTAAGGAAACCGCTCCTGGTTTTTCCGCTCTTTGGAGAACCTGACCCTTCAGTCTGTTTGCAGAAGTTGGGAGCAGGTTTATCAGTAAAAACGGGGGTTTGCACTAGTTTGGGGGGTGGAGGAACGAGAGCGGCATTGGCTATATCCGAAACCAGCGTGTCCCCCCCGGGTTTGTTTCCACATCACCAGGGCAGCCGTCTCCCCAGAAGCCCCCTGACCGAAGGGGGAGAGGGGTCCCGCTCGCTGCCGGACCGGACCCCGCAGCACCGGACCCCGCAGGCGGGTCGGTGCGGGGCCGGGCGGCCGGAGGAGAGGGGGAAGAGCTGCCTCTTTTCCCACCTTATTCCCCGCCGGGAGATGAGCGGGGCCGGGAGCGCACCGGGGACTCCGGCCGCGGGGGACCCCCAGGAGAAACATCGGCCACGTCTGGGGGCTTCGCTTATCTCCCTTCCCGGCGGGGCGGAGCGGGTTTTTCACGCCTATTCCACACCGTACCTCTGCCTTCCAGGAGGAGAGCTTCCCCAGTAATTAGCAGCAGTTGCCTAGTGCGTGGGTGACAGTATAATAATTACTCAAAATGTGCGAATTTAGGAACTGACCCTGCCAATTAGTGTCTCCTTTCCCCCAGACTCATATATGCCTAAAACACGAAGACTCTCCAAATATAATAAAACTGTTCCCTGAAGTCGCCTCCTCAGCAGGATGTCCCCAAGCTCTGAGCTGTCTCTAAACGGATTCCCTTTTCTCCTCCTCCAAAAAAGCCATCGGAAAGACTTGGGTCTGGTAGCCTTCAAAAAAAAAGTCGTACTGAGGCGGCCGGTGTTTAGCAATAACAACAAAAGAAAGCACGAACTTTACAAATCCCGATCCTAAATCTAACCCCGGGGCTCCTAAGGAGCTACATGTCTCTGCGGCTCCCGCCTCGGATAAAAGGATAACGAGAATAATTACCTTTTCCTTTCCCTGCTCGGAAGAGTATCTACATCAGTAGCAAGGAAACCAGCGCATTCAAGAATTTAGCGACAAACCCAAGTCAAAATATAGCGTGACCAAAGCTGGGTGTGTGTGTGTGTGAATTTTGCTTGAACCCGGTCTGCGGGAAAGCAGGCCAGATAAGGGAGGGAAGCGCAGCAGTTATGCCCCAATAATTAGCAAGGGGCTCTGGAAATAAGAGAAACCCAAGCGGTCGCAGGGTCTGTCCAGGGCAGGCCCCGACATTTACTGTTATAAGAAAACAGCCAAAAAAAGGAAAGAGGTGTTTTTTTCTGAAGATCCCCTGGCAGCATGGCGGGGGGAAGCCCGGCACCTCTGGAGCGGAGCCGGCCGGTGCCATCAGGCTCTGGCTGCGGGCGGGTCCGGTGTCCCCGTCGGTGGCAGCCCTGGCAGGGCGCTCCGCCGCGGGGGTGCCCGCAGAGG